CAAAAAATCGTATTAAATAACTTCATTTTTTAAGGGATTTCACATTATTTAATCGATTTTTGTATGTAGGAACAAGAACAAATATCTCACAATTTGATTCATAGATTTAGGATTCGATTTGCTATAAATACATATATTTAAGAATAAAACTAAATTATGCTAAAATTATAGGTTTTGATTACAAACACTAGTTACATACGATCCTAAATCTTATAATAATAATAATAATTACATTGATGAATATTACAAATTAAATGATCATAAATCATACACTTTTAATACTTAACTTTTTTCTTTATTGTTTTAAAGAAATTGGTCTGTTTACTCTAGGTTATTTTTTTTTTCTGACACGTAGACCCAATGCGAGGTCGGTTCCCTGTTCACTATTTCCTATATTGTTTTTTTGTTCGGAAAACTATGCCATGTAGTAAGGAATTGCATCCAATGTTATTATATTAAAGTATGGCACGTAAAATACGGAGTATAAAAATCTTTTAATTTGTATTTCCATTTGAATTTTAGTTTATTTAGTATTTGAATTTCATTTTAAGTTTGTTGTTATTCTCTTGTACTTATTGGAGGGTTAAAAATGGAGTAATTAAAAAAAAATAGTGATTTCTCGTTGCATTTCCTGGAAATTTACACGAAATAATACAAAATTCTGAAAAATAAAGCGTTTCGTGTTGTATTGCACGAAATGGAGTATTTCATTTCGTGCAACAGAACACGAAATTCATAAAAATGTCGAAAATCGACAAAAAACTCATTTTTTAATCTCAAAATCGATTTAGGTTTCATACTTCTTGATAATTATTGTGTTCTAAATGATACTATCGGACAAATTTGACGATTTGGTAAGTTTTAAAATTCGGAGGTTGAGAGGATTTCGAAAAATGTTAAAGGGTTTTTTGACAAATGAATTATTTCGCACTGTAACCGGAAAAAATTGCACTATGAATAGTAAGCCCCTTTCAAAATTACCTACGTGCCATGTCATTGTAAATGTCCTTGTTCACCACAAATAAATTCCATTCCTACAAAATATAATTACGAGACTAGTAAAATATAAAGAAAATATATAAATTTACTTATCAAAACAAAATGGATTAAAATCTTTGGAAAATCTCATGATTATTTTTTTCCTAATTTAATTCAAGGACTTGAAGCGTGTTCTTGAATCAAATTAGTAATTCCCTCCAAACTTCACTGAAAAATCACGAACAACTTGAGTTCCAGTATGTTATAAATTCGATACGGAAACTTGAGACTTGATATGTGTGTATGTGTAAGTTTGTCTTTTGCATGTACTGAAGACTTCATTTTATAGGCACCAACTACGGTTTCATAACTTGGAACTTGAACAAATGGGTTTGATGGTTGTCAATTGATTTCTTTGGGCTAAATTTGAGCCCGATCAGCTACTTACAAGATATCTAATTAACCTAGTTATCATCTTTAAAAAAACCCAAATTTCTTATAAATTTTGATTTGAGAACTAAATTAATAATTAATTACTTAGAATATTTATTGGTGATTTATCCCAAAATTTGGATGTCAAATAAATTTGAGTCAAATGTTTCAGCACAAAATAATTGAGATAATATTTTTTTAATATCTCAAATTCTTGTGTAATGGGCTTATACGAGATAACTCCATTAAACACTATCATAACTCCTATGTACAAAAAAAGAAGTACAAATAACAATTTTCCAAGAAACCTTCAATTTAATTAATTGATCTATGGAAAACATACATAAATAAGAAAATTGTTACTTAGTATCGACAAAAGCTCCAAGAAAGGAATATATTAAGGATTCATATGCATCCCTTAGTGACAAATTTTCTTGAATAAATCTAACATAATTTATAATCTTCTTATATAGGATAAAGTAATGGTAGTGCCATTATTTGGTGAATTTGTAGG